GCACGTTGCTCTGATTTGCTTCAGGATTGCGGAATTGCGCGCAAGATCTGCGCTTATAGCGCTTGGGATCAACACCTCCTTTCGGCAACGCTTCTCCAGTATCCCGTCTCATCTGGACAAAGCGCGTTACGGAAACCGAAACACGGCAATTGTGGAGGCCCTATGCTGCACGGGAGCCAAAATAGTGGATACACAATTTAATGGTCCATGCACAAGCGCTGAATAGTATTTCTACTGTCGAGCAAGGAAATATAATGTCGGACAAATCCCACTAAACAGCACGATTCCTGCTGTATTTTTGCAACAAGCCACTAGCTGCCAGAATTATTGCCGTGCTAGAGCTCTCACATTTCAGACGCAGTGCCGGGACATGTGCCTTACACCGATGAATTCTGACAAGAATTGAATTCATGGAGCAATGGAGCAATCGTTCATGGAGCAATCCCTATAGCAATGTTTGCATTAAAATTTAATAAACATATAATGTAAATACACACACGACGTGTTTGAATACACCGACATTAAACCATTATATAGGCAAGAGGTTGACTTAGGCTAAACAGGTATGGCAGAATATGGCGTGAACTAGGTCCAAAGGTTGGCGGATAAGAGTATAGTTGAACTATACTATAGCTGAAGCCGAGTGAAGCACGCAGCTTTTCACTCTCGAGATCTAATCGCTGACTTGCAGGCACATGCAGACGTCAGCGTTGGTGTCGACAGTAGATTAGGAGAGCATGCACAGCTGCCAGTGAGACTGAAGGAAACTTGCAAACCGCAGTGCTGGACTTTCACTTTGCAACAAAAAGGCAATTAGCTTTTAACCAATTTACTAAACATATTGTTTTGATACACCTCCGAATAACCTCAAGGATGCATGTATCGCTCGAAATATTTACACGAAATTCTGTAAGAGGCAAAACAGCTGTAAAAACCTTTCACGGAACCTATCAACGCCGCTTTCATCAACTCACGATCTATATTTACGCTCAGGATAACAACATTTTTATGGTTGATGTAATTTTCTGTACAGTAAAAGGAATACACCTTAAAAATCAACATATATATAATTGCTATAGCAAAGATAGTTTACACTAATTAGCAAACTTGGGGTTTAAAGTGTGCTACTTCCTGGGCACTGGCGTCTAACACCTAGTTTTTAATGCGCCAGAGCTGTCACTTGGGTGCATTCGTGCTGGGACGACAACTCAGACGCCCCCTCTAGCTGAGTCTTGTTCATTCAAGCATCCAACTACTCTGTGATATGCACTAGGTACAAGCAACGTAGGGATGCACATAGGCTAGTATGACCTACTAACCTACTGTGACGAACGCACTGTGACTGTGACATTCGTTAGCAATCCTCTGGTATGCTGTAGAGTACACCTAGCCAGGCAAATAATTGCTGGCAATGACACCACCCGCATAGAAACCTTTATAGGGGAATGGTTATAATAACGTAATAACATACCAATTATGTAACAGCGTATAAAATACAATTTATATAATGATCTTATTTATTGTTATATTATTTATACTTTCTTATCTTATCATGCTTAAATTTATTAATGTTGCCCAAAACGTCTAAGAAATTTTGCATGAAAAAAAAGCAAACAACTTTTTGAACTGCCGATGTTTTCTCTGAGCGCACATGGGTGCTGGCATTTAGCCTCGTAATCCAACATGAATCACGATGAAGTATAATGTACATTTACACGGATGTTCTAGGTAATCAGGTAATCAGGTAACCTATAGGTAATCTCGGTAATCAGTTTACCCTAATTATGCCAGAAACCCTTCCCCAGTGAAAGTTAAATGAGTGGCAATAACACGTTATACAAATGTATATGCCCGATTTAGACATTTTCGATCAAACATATATCCCCTTGCTGGGGTAATATCAGAGTGTATGTGGTGGTGACTGAACCACACTCTTCCCCGGGGGAATAATTAATGTGTGAAATCAGTGAGTCGGAGGTCTGCTGGCGCCAATCCCTTGGGTGTGCGGCTACTGTACTATGCTAGGTAGGGTTTACAAGTTTTGTATTTGACGCCATGAAATTAGGAAATTAGCAATGCACTAGTTTCGACTTATGGTTGTCATCTGCCTCAATAGCGTCTAAGGCCTGCTAAGGCGTTAAAACCAACTGTCTGCCAAGGTGAATGAACAACGTATCACGTGCTTTTGTGGCCCGCGCAAGTGCACTACAAGAACGGGGTTTTGTTGTCACAGGATAGATACCCATCACATGTATGCTGCATCAACGACCTATCCTGTATCAGCATGTTGCACTCTACCCCGCGCGGTTTTCGTGGTATGCGAGAGCTGGCCTTTTGGCCTGGCTTTATATATTGACTATGATGGGATTAAATGATAATTAATCTAATAGCATATTCATCTAGCGCGATCTTATTGTATTCTTATTATGTTTCATTAGGCAATACCAGATAATCACCAGTGAGCAGTCCCACATATATGTTGACTAAAGTACTATTTTCA